TAGGCTGCTGCCCCCCTCTCAAACCCTCCCCCACTTACCTGATCTGTAGGCTGTCTCTGGCAGCATGTGTTGCTCCCCTGCGGTTTCAATCAGCAGAGAGAAGCAGGGATAAGATGCAGCTTCCTATCCCTGTCTCTCTCCATACACAGCGCCACCTACTGGCCGGCGCCGGTATTGCAGTTCATTTTAATTCTCACACAAAATAGCAGAACAAGCTGAAAAATCCAGGGGCAAGTGCCCCCTTGCCCCCTGCGGACTCCCATGTATACACTAAAACTGCTTTATTTAGCTAAAGTAATTTAGGTGACTATAGTGTTCCTTTAACCATGTCATGTGAAGGAAGATACATAGTAACTTCATAAACTGCATTCACTGTCCTTCTGTCACCCTTCTTTATCCTAGTGTCCCTTTTTTTCTGGCAACTCTGAATTTTGCAGTGTGTTTATGTATTTGTAAAATGAAGCATGAAAGCAATGCAATAAACAATACTTTACATAAATGTGTTGAAATAGTTTGTAGTTAGTAAATAAAATATTATAATCTTGTTTTAGGTTAGAGGACATGAAATCACATAAAGTTTTCTTGGTCGCACCCCATCCATACTCACCTAAAATAAATGGTTTGCTCCTTGGCAGGGCCAGCCTTTCCATTTAGCTAACACAAATGTGTGCATCCCCTTTTGTCAACACATATACACAATTAACCACACACACAGCATTAGCGTCTTACTAATATGCATACAAAGTTAGCCATCACACACATATCTTTATCCAACACAGATTCATAACTAGTCTCTCAGGTAAATGCATCATGTAAACATAAATAATAACACACAGTTGCATGCTGACATAGATACTAGCAAACAGCAAAGCACACACATACAACATTTTAGTTTTCCTCCCTATTTCACATCCCTGCTGTATACCTTTTTTTCAAGGTGCGAGTGGTGGTCTATTGTGTGGCCCCTGGTCTCTAGTATAGGGGAGCAGCAGGGGCATAGCTAGAGCACTTGGCACCCGAGACGGACCCTGTATTTGGTACTCCCACAAACTTTAAAATGTAAAAAACACCTGCAATTAAAAAAAAAGTTTTCAAGAATATTTATTGCACAAATATATAAACTGTATGTTAGAAAGAGTCCCCTCAAGGCCCCATTAGAGAATACAATGCAGTCTAGTGGGCCCTGCAGAGATGTCTCTCTAGCATTCTGGCTCCATTCACAATAAGGTAATATATAGGTCTCTGATACCAAGCCCAAGTTGGCACTTTTCACCTTAAATACTATTGCTGGCTGGCTGCTGTGACTGGCAGGCTGCTGTGGCTGGATAGCAGGCGGGTTTGGCTGCTGTGGCTGCTTGGCAGGCAGGCTGACTGTGGCTGGCAGCTCTGGCTATAAGACTGGTGTGGCTGGCTGGCAGGCCAGGCCTCTTACTTCCCTCAGCCCCTTTGTGTGTCTCTTTGTCCCCTCTCAGCTCCTCTGTATGTCTCTTTGTGCCCCAGTGCTTCAATGTGTCTCTTTGCCTCCCCACCCTCAGCCTGTCTCTTTGTGCCACCCAGATCTTCTGTGTGTCTCTTTTCCCCCCTTCTGTGTGTCACTTTGTGCCCCTCAGTATGTCTCTTAGTGCCCCTCCATGTGTCTCATGGTCCCCCAGCCCCTCCGTGTGTCTCATTCACCCCCAGCCCTTCCATGTGTCTCATTCACCCCTCCATGTCTCTCTTCCTCCCAGCCACTCCATGTGCCTTATTCACCACCCCAGCCCCTCTACGTGTTATATGAAATTTTCCAGCCCCTCCATGTGTTCATTCTCTCTGCCCCCAATCCTTTCCAGGTGTTCCATTCCCCCCCCATGCCTGTCAATGCGTCTCATTCACCCCCCCTGCCCCTCAGTGTGTCCAATCTTCCCATTCCCTCCATGTGTCTCATTCATCCTCCACTCCAGCCTCTCCATGTGTGTGGTTGCACAGAGCACCGTGGCAGCAGAGGGGGGCAATGTGGCCGGCGCAGCTCACACACTCGCTGGGTGATAGGTGAGCTGGGAGTGCAGGGAGCTCTCCTATAATGCAGGAGTGCTATAAGGACCGTGGCCCTGCTGCACCTGGGGAGGATTTAATTATCCTCCACCTAGGTGTATCGGATAAGGCAGGGGCAGAGTTTCACGAGTGGTGGAGGCGTGGCTAAATAGGGGAAGGGCGGAGCCAGGACTTGTGAGCTGTGGGAGCATGAAGGAGTCCCTGCTCCCCAGACATTTAACACTAGGGACTGCAGTGCCCATGCTTCTCCAACCAGCCCATAATGGAAGCAGGTACCTGTGTGTGTGTGAGAGAGAGAGAGAGAGAGAGAGACTGTAACTGTTTGTGTGAGAGACTGTCTGCAAGTGTGTGTTTGTGACTGTCTATAACTCTGTGTGTGTGTGTGTGTGTGTGTGTGTGAGAGAGACAGACTGTAACTGTGTGTGTGTGAGACTGTAACTGTGTGTGTGTGTGTGTAACTCTCTGTAAATGTGTGTATGTGACGGTGTGTGAGCTTGTTTAACTGTGTGTGTGTGAGAGAGAGAGAGAGAGAGAGAGAGAGAAACTGTGTAACTGTGCGTATGTGACTTTCTGTAATTGTGAGTGTGTGTGAGAAACTTTCTGTAACTGTGTGTATGTGACTGTCTGTAACGGTGTGTGTGAGACTGTCTGTAACTGTGTGTGTGTGTGTAAGAGAGAGACTGCCTATAACTGTGTGTGTGCATGTGTCTGTCTGCATGTAACTGTGTGTATGTGACTGTGTGTGTGTGTAACTGTCTGTAACTGTATGTGTCTGTCTGTAGCTGTGAGTATCTGTCTGTACTACACACATACACTGCATCCACTACATGCACTACACACAGACACTTTACACAACACTGCTTCAACTACACAAACACGGACAATGCACCCACTACACAGCATCTACTACAAAGAAACTGCATTCACTACACTGCATCCACACATACACTACCTCCACTACACACACACACTGTATCCACTATACACATGCATACAATACACACACTGCTTCTCCTTGATGTGCGTGAGATTTTGGGGGGTGAGGTGCGGGGGCAGCATTTTATCCTTTCACCCAGGCAGGACAATGTGTTGAGCTGGCACTGACTACCAGCTCAGTGTTCTCTCCTGCTTCCTTCTGGCTTGTGTCTGCAGACATACAGCAGGATATGTTAGAGTTAGACAGATATAATGCACAATATAGATACAAGTGCAATAGACATTGTAGCGGAGCTGCAATATTAAATCCCAATATCTCCGCTGGTACAATAAAGTAATCCAAGAAAAGCGCTGAATGAAGGCAATATCCCAAATCCCCCAGT